ATTGCTAAAAGAAATTGGTGCATTCACATGGGTCCAATCAAGAAATGCTCTGAAATTAAGACAGTAAAGTACTTCAAGTATTTAAGTTAGTTAAAATATTAGTTTTAGTATAGGTAAAAGTACTATATTAATCAAAAATAAAAAATAAGCAGGTCTTCTGGACGGGTTCTTCTTTAGTGAAACGTTTCGTCTCTCCTCCAAGAGACTTCTTCAGTATGAGTTTCAGGTGAACTACTATACTACCATTAATTATTAATATTACTATTACTATATTAATGTTAATAATAGTTGCATTCCTTGTCAGTCTACAACTAATAAGCTGTGTATTGTTTAGTGAAGATAATTCAAAGCAAAACAATTGGGTATTTTCTTTACGTGTGTTGCTCCTTTTCCAGAATCTTCATTTCAAAATAAAAAAAACTTAAGAAAATGGAATAGAAAAGAATAAAGTAGGATGCTCTGGAGGCTGAAGTTAGTCATTTAGTTTGTATGTTACACAGAAAAAGAAGTTTCCTTCAGCTCATTTCACAGCCCACACTGGTAATTCAACGGGGATCATTTTTGTGTTAAAACAAGTCTAACACAAGTTTGTTTCAGTGACAGAAAAACATTAATCAGAAAACAAAATTTAAATTTGAGCAGAGGAATGAAACGCGTTTTTATTGGTTTATTCATTTATTTCTTACCTCTTTTTGTACCAGAAACATAAACGTCTCTCTGATGTGTGTAAGAATACACTGTGGCACTCGTGTCTGGAAAACTGTCATTAGAAGTTTCCATTTTTCTTAATTTTCAGTYTGAGTCAAGAAATGTGTGACATCAAACATCTTGATGACAATCTGAACTCACAGCTAAACTAACTGGATCATTGAATGTCAACTTGTCTCTGTATTTCCACACAGTTTGATAGATCAAGCTTTGGAACTGGTGGTGTTGKTAATTTTATCAGTTTCTCAAGAAATTGTAAACTTGGGAACCATTTGGCAATCCAGAATAAAAAGTAATAAAGGAACAGACACTTAAAAGTAGTGACTCAAAATAATTGGTAACAGTTGATCTTAGAGTATTAATGACTAACTGCAGCCTCCAGAGTTTTCCACCAAATAACTTCTTCATTAAACCTCTTCTTTCCCAATGCCAAATCGTTTCATTTACTATTGCCTCCTGTTCAAAGAAGGAACCTGACGAATAAGTGTACCTGAACCAGCAATAAAGCCGTAGTATCTGCTGTTCTCATTGACTCATGTCACACAAACACACATTTTATAAGCCTACTGACCAAAATCACTAGAAAAACATTGGAGATATTAGTAAAAGTGTCACCATTATGAGTGTCTCCAAATAAAGCAGTGAAGGGGGAAAAAGGGGAGATGTGTTCAAAAGAGAGAATGCTTTTCCTGTGAAATTCTCAAAGCTATTGGTAGATACGTATATTCTGTTTGAAAATAGTCCAAGATAGATAAATGGTCTCACACACTAGGTGTGTTAGATCCAAGCTGCTCTGTCTGCGTTAGCTGCCAACTCTCACCACCTGTCCTGCCTGTTACAAAGCTGCACGTAGAACCTGATATATTTGCCTGGAGCCATTTGTATTTTTAGCAAACAGAAGGTTATGTAACATTTACCTATCATGGATTCTGTACTCAGAGGAACAGCAAAGAAGGTCTAAAGGAAATGAGGTCTTTTTGATGCTCTATACTAACAACCATGTGACATCTTTTGGGACTTCTTCCTTTTTCGTGATAGGAACTGGATTAACGTTTAGAAAGTCAGTTAGTTTTTTTCTGAGCTGGTACACCATGAGCTCATTTTAATGTTTTGTTGATGTGCAGTGACATAACAGATCGTGCAAACATTTGGAAAAAAATCACACAAAAGCACAAGACTAGATTTGTGTTTGCACACCAACAATTTCAGTCAATTTTCAGGGAGGTACAACCAAAAGCCCTGTTGCACTATGTTTTAGACAACTTATGCCAACTTATGAACATTTTTTATACATATAGGTTATGTATTCAATCTAATCATAACCATTAGAGTATGTCCAGCCATCCATTATCTATATCCGCTTCTTCCTTTCAGGGTCACGGGGGTCACTGGTGCCCGCATCCAGCAGTCACAGTGAGGGGCAAGGGACACCCTGGACAGGTCGCAAGTCCATCACAATACATACATACATTAGAGTGTGTATATACATCCAAATAAGAGTTCCAGTAGATTTTTTTACTCCATCTTGTTTTTTTTTTTTTTTTTTTTTTTTAGGATGGCCTCCCTTCTCCCCTTATAGCCATCCCCTCCACACCATTATGTTTTTTTTTTGTTTTTTTTTTTGTGAAGAGAAAATAGAGAGAGAGAAAAACAGAGAGAGAAGTAATTAGAAAGATAGAAAGACTGAAATAGCGATTAGGATTATATTAAATATACACCAACAAAACACAGGACCACACACCCAACATCTGTCCGCTCACCTGAAAAATAAATGGATAAATATATAGAAGGCATATAAAAAATATACACATACCCATACATATATAAAGATATACATATATACATGCCTACATTCATAAATATTGTCTGTATTTACACACAGACATATATACACACTCAGTGACCTGTCAGAACCCCTGGATCAGAGCACCTGTTTGTGAGCAGTTGTGAACAKGCGTGTAWATACAAGATTTCTCCAACGGAATATTTAGTAGTGACTGTGGAGAACCGAGACCCAACCCCCAAGACACGAGGCAGACATAGGGAAGACCAGAGTCCAAGGGCCTGAGAGGAACCCCGAGCGCAGAGCCCCAAGGGGCACCCGCACGGGAAGATCCGCCCACCCACCCCCCAGATCAGACCATAGGCGAGAACTGGGAGAGTCCCCCCAGCAACCACATGCACAGCCCCCTGGGGCCAGCAGCGACAAACTCATGGGCCCCACCGGCACCCGCCATACCAAAGCAGATCCAGGAAAGGGCGCAGAGGTCCGGGCCCCCAGGGCGCACCCCCCCAGGCCAAAGCCCGACAGGCCCAGAGGCCCCGAACCCCAACAGGCAGTCACCAGGCCAGGCCGGCACACACCCCAGCGCCCAGCCCCAGACCCCGGGAACCCCCAGCACGCYGGCGGCCAGCCGCACACCCCACCGGGGGGCCGAGCAGCAGCGGGCCTCCAGATAAACCAGCAGGAGGGGCAGCCCAGACCGCAGCCTGACAAATACCCAAACATACACAATCGCACCATCCCACCCTCATCCTCACCTCCACTCAGTCAAAGACATACAAGGACGCCACATTCCACTCATACCCCCGATACACACTCTATACCCCCCAGGTCCAGGACATGTACCCACCCCCTAATGGAGGCTGCACACACCCGAACCCAGGAGGTAGACCCAATCATTCTGAGGTGGAGAGGAGCAGATAGCCAAGGCCCGGCCCGGGCCGCACCAGGACGCCCGGCCAGCCCCCCGCCGCAGAGAAGCCACACCCATGACAACCCCACCACACCGCCAGCGACCAAGTGCACCCCCCCAGCCGCCCACCCCCCGGAACCCAGCAGCCACCCCGGCCAGCGGGCCACCCACTGGAACCAAGAGCCACATCTCAGGAGACCAAGCAGCACCAGGGAAGACAGAGAGCCAGCCCCGCCCCCCGGCGACCGTCCAAGCCCCAAGCCCACCCACAGCCCAGGACTGCACCCGGCGGTCCGCCGGGTGCAGTCCTGGGCTGTGGGTGGGCTTTACTTTTTACTGTGGGTGGGTATTTACTTTTTACTCCATCTTCAATGCAGACATCTTTTGTGTTGGAGAAAATCTTCAAAAGTTGGCACAAGTTGTCTAAAATTGTGACAGGACCTTAAAAGAAGTCTTCTTCATTTCTTTGTTCCTTCTTCATGAGGACAAAAATTATCAGAATATTGGTCTTTAAGTTTGTATAAATGTATTTGCTATGGCAATTTCTTGTTTTGGACTCCAACAGTCTGATTAGATGTCACAGTAAATCTAGTAAATATGTAGTAAGTAGTATAGTAAAAATGCCAAACTGGTAACCTGACTCAGGTCATTGTAAAGGTAACTGTGTGTAAAATCATCAACATAAATATGTTTACATTAACTAACCTTACATTAGTATTGTGTAGTACACATTTGTAATATTTACCTTGTTTATCTTGGTCAGATCACATAGATTGGCATCATGATAACATCTGTGTAGCCAAATCAGCACAGAAGTCTTTGAGTTGATGTTTTAACAGACTTAAAAAACAATGTATTTTTAATGTTTGGATGAATGTGTGTTTATTGTTGTGATAAAAGTCCAAAATGATTTTAAAACTTTTTACAATGGAAATTGTATTGTTTGCTAGCAGTTTTTGAGTCGAATAAAATGTGTTTGTATTACTGCCATTAAAGTTCATGTGATGTGTTTCATTCAAAATCCAAAAAGTGGAAGAAAACTTCTTTCTCATAATACACATGATTTTTATCTATTTTGTCACGTAACTGGCATGCTTTTTCTTCTTACTTGGTGTGGCCAAAGTCAAACAGGAAGTGACATCAAAGGGTAACTCTTCCAAATGGTGAACTCCCTTGTCTTTGTTTATTGGAACAATTTGAACTTATCTTCTTCTTCTCTCTGAGAGTGACTCAAATCAGTCTAAAGAAACATCAGATTCTTTGCTACTGTTTGTGTTGTTGGCCATTGATCTGTTCACATGCAGGTATTCCCCTTTGTCATCACTTCTTGTTGCTGCAGATGCAAATATCTCAGTAACTGTTCATCTCAGCAGCATGATTTTTTTGCAAACCTTGTTAATGTTATCATTCAAAAATGTGTTTGTATTTATCTTGAAAACTTGATGCCACAGCCACTTTAATATCAGTTCAACATTTCAGAACTGGGAAATTCCTGAAAAAGAGAAACATTTGTTAATGTTGTAATGATTGCCATGTTTATTAGAGCTGATTAAGTTCGAATTTTGACCTGTCTCTGTTTGATCCATGTGTCCTTAGGCACCTTGGAGCCCCATCTCTCTGCCCTGCTGTGGTTAGCCATGCTGGTGTCTCTGGCTATTGTCATAGTGTTACCACAGCCACACGGTATCAGGGCACTGATTGCTTCCACCATCCTGCGCCTGATCTTCTCAGTGGGCTTAGAGCCCACATTATTCCTACTTGGAGCTTTTAATGTAGGTTTCTGCTAATGTGTTAACCAAAATATAGAGTGCCAGATTCAGGCATGTTGGGTAATGTTTCTCTCACGGGCTTTCTATTGTTCCTCAGTTGTGTAACAAAGTGATCTTCCTGATGAGCTTTGTTGGGAACCGAGGAACGTTCACACGTGGGTATAAAGCTATGATCATGGACGTAGAGTTCCTGTACCACCTGCTGTACCTGATCATCTGCACCTTAGGGGTCTTTGTCCATGTCTTCTTTTACAGCCTGCTGGTATGTGAGCGCACACACATGAACTTCACTTACTGTTTTCGTATTATATAAGTTTTTACTTTTCATGGTGCATTTAAGAGAGATGCAGCACACGCAGACCTTAATGCTTCTTTATTCCAGCTCTTTGATTTGGTTTACCGGGAAGAGACTTTGCTGAACGTCATCAAGAGCGTCACTCGCAATGGACGGTCGATTGTTCTGACTGCCGTGTTGGCCCTTATCCTCGTCTACCTCTTCTCTATTGTGGGCTACATCTTCTTCAAAGATGACTTCATTTTGGCTGTTGACAGGATACCCAACAAAACTATAGGTATGTTGGAATTTTTTTCTTGTTCACTTCCTGGAACAGGCATGAGTTGTTACCCTCCATAACCCAAAAATTGAAGAGATATGAAATATGWTTCTTTGACAGCAAAATGCTCTAGATGTCTTAAACATATAATTTTACATAATAAATATGATATTTATCAAACAAACTATCCTGCTGTATATAATTTATTAACATGGCTACAAATATCAATAAGCACTGTAGGTTTATGAAAACTTAAGCAGAACATGGACTTCGTGCACATGTGTAATCCTTTATGTCTTGTGTTCCCACTGAACAGAACATGGAGCCAGCATGGTGGGAGAGTTTTTTTCTGGTGGAGTTTGTCAAAAGGAAAATGGAGAAAACTGCTCAACAGAGGCCGTAAAAGATGGTGAGTTGACAGAAGGGAAAGGTGTATTCTGGTATAGATTGTCAGTTGTCCAGGACATGAGAATAAAAATTAAAAAAAAAATTAAATAATCAAATAAACAAAACAACAGGACTCCTGTTCTGTAGTAGATGTTTCAAATCCTATTCGGGATATTTACAGTGGGGAAAATAAGTATTTAGTCAGTCACCAATTGTGCAAGTTCTCCCACTTAAAAAGATGAGAGAGGCCTGTAATTGACATCATAGGTAGACCTCAACTATGAGAGACAAAATGTGAAAAAAAAATTGAGAAAATCATTTTGTCTGACAGAATTTTTTTGCAAATAATGGTGGAAAATAAGTATTTGGTCACCTACAAACAAGCAAGATTTCTGGCTGTCACAG